TTGCTATAACTGCATTAATTTACAGAGAGCCATGGAATATGGTTCAAATAATAGACCAATGAGTAACTTTTTGGAAACTTAAACAGGGCATCAAAAATAAAAAGCTTTTAAGAAAGAAAAATAAAAGCATTTCTGGGTAAGTAAATATATTACACAAAAGCCACCTGATGTGCTGTACTGTGCTGTAGACAGTTTATATACCTACTTTTATAGAATTATGGAAATTGCGTTGTCATGGTAACCATATAAATGTCAGACCTCTACTGATTTATTTCAAATTTGAGTGTTGATGAAATAAGTATCTCAAATACACGTATCACAGATGCACTTTAAACATAGGCCCATAAATTAGCTTTAAAGCTGCACGCCTCGAGATGAGCCCAAATATTTCAAGAAATTCAATCTTTAGAAAAATGTATTAAGATCTTAAGAAAAGTTAAAGATTCAATATTTAATTACATGTCATAAGCGATTAATAACTGATTTTGCAGTATCAGTCACTATAATTCTACCGCGTTACTAATGCAGTAAGAGGTATTTATGTATATTTTGGCCCCTTTTTAGCTCGACTTTTCTATGAAAAGGGGAGCTATCCTACTCGCCCCGGCGTCGGCGTCGGCGTTGGCGTCACACCTTGGTTAAGTTTTTCGTACCACCCCACTTTATTTCAGAAGTATTACAAGTATGGCTTTGAAACTTACCATACTTGTTCACCATCATAACCTCCATCTACAGACAAGAGTACATAACTCTGTCAAGGTTTTTGACAGAATTATGGCCCTTTTTTGACTTAGAAAGTGTATTGAGCTTGGTTAAGTTTTTTGTACCACCTCACTTTATTTCAAAACCATTGGAGGTATTGCTTTGAAACTGACCATACTTGTTTACCATCACGACCTTCATCAACAGACAAGAGGACATAACTCTGTCAAGGTTTTTGACAGAATTATGCCCTTTTTGACTTAGAAAATACATTGAATATGGGTAAAATCCACTTATTGCCTTAACCCTTTGAGATATTGCTTTGAAACTTTTAATGCTATTTCACATCATTACCCCCATCTGTACGCAAGAGAAGGTAACTCTGTCAAGGATTTGTTTTAAAAATTAAGGCCTTTTATCGACTTAGAATCTTGGTTAAGTTTTTAGTACCAGTCCACTTTTTGACTGAACTGTTTGAGATATTAATTTGAAAGTTGGAATACTTGTTTACAATCATGATTCCCAAACATGTCCAGGAGAAGGTAATTCTGTCAAAGATTTTATTTGAATTATGGCCCTTAACTGTCAATGTTTTGTATTATAGGAAAGCACTAAAAAACTTAAAAAATCTAAAAAAATTCATTCCTATCCACTTGTTCACTTTACCATAAAAGGCTCAACTCAGTTTTTTTTTCTTTCTTACCAGCCCTCTTTTGACTTAAACATTTCAAACTTTGCTGCAGTGTTCAAGGGTATCACACAATTCAGTAAAATAATTCTTCACTAAATATCTTAATGCTCATGGCCATTGTTCACTTTAAAAATACAGAGATTCTTGTATTGCCTTTTACTGCAAAAACTTTTTTTATTGGCAAGCAATAAAAAAGTCGAGCGCGCTGTCTTACGGACAGCTCTTGTTGTTAATTAACGTGGTGTATTAAGATCTTAAGAAAAGTTAAAGATTCAATATTTAATTACATGTCATAAGCGATTAATAACTGATTTTGCAGTATCAGTCACTATAATTCTACTGCGTTACTAACGCAGTAAGAGGTATTTATGTATATTTTGGCCCCTTTTTGTTAATTAACGTGGTTGCAATGTGTTAATTACTTTCTTCGTTCACTTCACAATATTTAACTGTGAAATAATTTTTCAAATTTTTTCATGAAAATTAGCACGAATATTGGGGCATGGTGCTTTAAACCTCTACTATTCATTGTATACTAGACCATTTTCATATATGGTTCACCGAAATCTGCATTGGTTAAAAAAGATTCGTTGACTTCCAGTTTAGCATATACATGTTGATTTAGCTCCTATATGAGAACGATACTGAACGGTAAGTTTTACAATGTTGACTTATATTTGTTAAATAAGAACTATTATTGAAGAAAAAATCTAAATGCTATTCGACACATATATAGTTCCTTTATAGTTATCCATTAATGTATGGTCATTTGATGCAATCTCTATTTTTTGGCAAAAGGCTTATTGTCGTACGTTTAGGTGTTTAATTCAGCATGAGGATAAAGAAAATTGACTAAAGATAAGCTCAAAAAATAAACAATAAAACAACTTTGATCTGTGATAATAAACAAAATACACACAAATCCTTGTTAGGTCAATGCTTTGTAAATCAGCAATAATGGTCAAAACTCATATTGCGAATCCATATGTGGATATGTGTTCTATATCCAACATTAAATTCAAGCAATATATATTGACCATGAAAACTATACTTAAAATTCGGTAAATAATTGAAAAAAATGCAACTGAAAGTCTAACGATTTATACTACAGATACATAACGCCATATAGGCAGACTGAAAAGTGTATATTAGAATTTGTTTAAACTTTGAATTAGTTTAGAATATGATAATAAAAACATTATAAGTGAAAACTGGGAAATACGACGTCGGAACTAAGCAATTAATATAGTTTCTTGCTCAAAGAAACCACGACTTGCCCTTCTGTATGAACCCACACAGCCAGCAATTCTTAAATTACATGTACTAGTCCAACGGACAACTGTAAACATCACTGTACCTTTACCCATAGAGCCAAGCCAGGCTAAACATCCGTGCAATCATGATCAGGCGCGTACTGTTGGCTGACTACTATCTTAAATTTCTATCTTCATAATGGACAATTCCAAAAATTTAAGCTTGAAAAGTCCTTATCACAAATTAAAGATTAGGCTTGCAAATCTGCACAATCTTGCCAGTGTCAGCACTGCAGCAGTCCATCACAAGTATATGTCATTATAGATCTATGCGTAATTTGCCAAAAAAGGCCATAGGCCTATGCTATTTGAATAACCAAGTGTGAAAAAATATCTACCACATTTAATGCTTATAAATACGTTTTTGAAACGTTCATGTTAAAGTTGCAAAAATGTAATAATTCTCCTATAAACATGAAAATGAGAAGTAGAAAAACTCGAGATTTCCCTATAAATTAAATGTGATTTTTTTTTAATATTCAAAGCGAACTTAAAAAGACAAAATCAGATTCCCGTTTGTTTTGCATTACTGTGCTTGTATTTAACCCAATTTAAAACATATCTGTAAAAAATTAGCCTCCTTATAATAATAAGGAAATGGCATATTTTTATAGTCTGCCCTTTCATCAAAGGGCGGACAGCACTACCTTCCACATATTCAAGAACTAACTTTTAACAGAATTCAACATAGAATCATCAATGTGACACATTAGTGCCATTCCATGAAACCCTGCATATTAAAGTCTCCTCTGGCAACTTTTTATATAGCTTTACTAGTGGAGGAAGACATCAGCTTCCCCTCATAGCATTATTTCAAACACGAAATATGACTCCGTATGGTGGGGCAAATTTAACCCCAAGGGTATAATTTGTTTTTTTCTAGCTCCTGTAACCTACTAATACGAGGGATGTCCGGAAAGTTCGTAGACAAGGCTATAAAATTATTATAAGCAGTCATATTAATATGATGATTAAATATTTTGCTTAAGTATTTATTCTGCTACAAATTTCTAAATTAAAAAACACGATAAAAGTCGTATTCGCAAATCGCCAATCACCATGGCAACATGATCAACGAATCATGGAGCACTTTAATTTCATGACAATAGCTGCTCGAATAAAAAGTTGCTAAAAGTTGTAATTTTAACGCAAACTCTTGTTTTAATGTTGTGACATCAAAGGGTACTACTGCTTGATATTTAGTAAAAATAACGACGTCATACGCAAAGAAACAACTTGTTAACGACGATTATAGGCAATGAAGTTGCGTTAGTTTTGTGTCGCAAAAATGACGTCAAATTCAAGGACGGAGCAACGTAATGTTATTTAACTTCAAAGCAACGGTAATAATGATTATAATATTTACTTGAAAAACAAATAAATCAACCATAAATTGTTAAGGGCAACTTGTGTTTAATTGTCAAACACGATGACAGTATTTTGTATAAGAAACGTATCAGATGACCAAAAGTAGCATGGCCGAAATATCGTAGATTGCGTTACAACAATCCTTGAAAAAGACAGACATTTTACAAACTGTATGGGAACCAGTGACACCTTTGTTGTTGTTAAATTTTTTTTAATGTAGTATATGAATTCATAAAGTAATAACAAGGGAACATAACATGTATAAAGTATATGCCAGACAGATATGGCTGTTTAAATCGGAAGAAATTGAATAGTGGATAAACATAAAATTTAATTGACGCCGTTGACGTTGTCAAAGTGCTCCATGACAATGTATATAATTATGTTGTATGTAAATGCTTTAAAAATACAAACGTAAGTCATAATTTAGTAATTTTTGATAAATGTGTTCGCTAGATAAGTATATTTTTGCTGACAAAATTTGTACAACGTATGTATTGTTATACAATAAAAAATGAAGAAGTATATGAACTTTCCGGAAATCCCTCGTACATACAATTGGAACCATTTACATGCAAATAACTTTAGTAGATGTCTACCCAAGAATCATTCCTGTGAGATTTGGTCAACATTTACCAAGAGGTTTAGGAGGAGATGATGTTTAAAGATGTTCTGAATAACAACAGATACCATGCTATCACAGTAGCTCACCTCTAATCACTTTGTGCTCAGGTCAGCTAAAAATTGGGATTATAAAAACCAGCAAATTAAGGCGAGAGAGGTTTTTAATCAAAAATGTATATTACCATAAATTAGTTGATATTTACAGTTTAGCAATTCTAGGGATCAAGGTAATTTATACATGTATACTATGGCTTAAGCTAGCTTTATTTGTTCAAAATTCTCACTTCCTCAAACACTTTGTCAATCTTTATAGAAAAGCCATAAAATATACCACATATCTTAAACTGTCTCACTTTAAATACTCTTCATTACTAATATATTTAAATGCTCTCTGAATCACATGTTGCAAATGTGACCAAGGGGAACAACCCTTGAAAAACCACACTTAAAATGCTATAGGCTGTCTCATCAACACATGTCAGTCAACATTTGAACCATCAATATCTGGAAACAAAATGTCACATTTTGGTAATGCCTTCTGTAACTGTTCGTAAGTGCCTTTCTTGTCTTTAACTGCTGGTAAATCTTTTAAATGTAAATCTGTTAAAAATCTGAAACAATACATAAAATATCATTAAATGGTGTTAAACAACTACTCTATTCAAAGATTACATGGCTTTTTCGCAGCTGATTCAGTTGGTAACACTTATTTTTATCATCAAAACGGGAGAAAAGATTACCGAAAGTTAAACTGACTTTAAACAAAACTGTTAACAGCTTAGGAATGTGCTTTCTTTGAGTTGCATATTTGGGTTTTGTGTTATTAGCATAAATTCCATTTAGTATTAAAAAAAATGATATCAACAAATTATTTAATGCTATTTTTTAGAAATTTCTGCCATGTTGTGTCCAAAAGACATATGGATCCGTTACTCTAAACTAAGATCATGTATATTACTTGTAAAACGTCATAATACTCATAATGAGCATTACAATACGCAAAAACTAAAGGTGGTTTATTAACATAGATGAAAGTATCCCATATATAAGGGCATAAACCACTCTCGATGGTGAGCTAGCTTTACACTGACAGGGTTTGTGTGTGCCATACATGTTTAAACCCAAGAAAGAAAATGTCATAATTTCAGCATGGTACATGTATCGCCACAAAAATGTTCTTCACATTTTAGTAAGGCTCACATACTGCTGGCCCAAGGCAAGTAAACAAAATTGAATCCGGGAACACTAGCATAGGACTTATACAAATTTATTTAAGTTTGATTGTGCTGGAAGCAATAAACTTATTGAAACACTCTTGAATCTGATCCTGCAATAAACCAGTACTAAGCAACAAATGTAAAGTTTCTTGGTCAAAGAAACAATGGCTTGCCCCTGAAGGGGTATGAACCCACACGGCCAGCAATCCTTAAATGACCAGTCTGACATGTTAACCACTTGGTAGCCGCCACACAATTGGCCATAAATAGGACTTTATTAACCTGCTGATTTTGTGCAATGGAATTGCCCAACTGTGAATTGGGAACAGTCCATTCAAAATTTACAAGATTACAAGATCTAAATACAAAGACTGAACTTCCATTAGTACAGAGCCAGTGGTCATTCTGCACAGATGTACAGGCTGACCTTGCTCTGTACTGGTGGCAAAGGCTCCGTTTAGTTCCAGCACATTATGGTCTAAATATGTAGTAAAATTTATCAACTAGTGAAACAAAGCAACAAAACCTAATGCTTTTATCGCCAGAGGCTCGCATAATAAAATTTTATTCAACTTGTTCAATAACTTCAGTATTGAACCTATACTAATACAATATCCTATATTTATGTAGGTTGAAAGTTACTTACACAAGTTTAACGAGATGAAACAAGCCAGTATCTGTAATATTCTTATTGGCACTAACTTGTAGATGCTGAAGACTATTAGCCGTATACTGGAGCTGTTTTAAACTGTTGTCATCTAAATACTTGCAGTCATGCATCTTAAATGACTTTAAGTCTTTTACATGCCCTGAAAATCAGAAGAAAAACAATTGAAAATGATCAAAATTTTGATCAAAATATATCTAAATTAATAACCCTGTTATGCAACCATTACATTTATGAAGAAAGTGATAAGTAAAAGTTGTATAATATCAATGTTCTTAAAGTGATTTATGATTTTCAATTAGAAAATTTTAAAAGTGGTGTAAAAAGTAAACTTATTGTCTGATGAACAAACAAAATAGATAAAGGTAGTATACACAGAAATTATGTTACTATTCTGTAAGTAACAGTACAGAATATAGAGACAGAACTCGTAAATTGAGTCCAATTTTGCAGATGGAATGCAAAGTGTTAAATTAAATGGTTTTTAAATATATTTTCTTGACTCTTAAATGTTTTGTTTTTCTATTTCTAACCGTCTGAAGCTTCGAGTGCTATCTGGAGATGTGCTGCTTTAAAAAAATCATATGATGACCTATTTATGAGGATTTTTTAAAAACCTGGATTATGTGTGCAATAAACTTTTCTGTGTGATTCCTGTACTATATTGTCTTACCAGGAAAAATTATCTGGACACCAGGAGGGCTTGAACCCACTGCACCTGGGTTTAGAGGTAGAGAGTCTAACAATGAGGCCATCTCTTGATATGGTCATTGATAGGATTAAACTAAGGCATTGAGCAGTTTTATTACTCCATAGGTATCAACAAAGTTGTAGTTCAAAGTTGTAGTCAAGCTGTCTCAGCTGGAATGAACTAGAGCTGATATTAAGGGGAGCTGTCACCTAGTGGTTAAGGTGTCTGCCTCTCAACCCAGGGATCATGGGTTCAAGTCCTAATAGTGTCACAACCATGTTTTTTTCAAATTACATCAATACTGGTTGGTTCCAGGAAGCAGACTTGCTTGAAAGAGATTGATATAAGTCTCTTCAAGAACTGGTTTTGCAAAAGAGCTTAAATTAATGTGTTTAAACTAAAACTATTACTAACTAGTGCTAAACTTGTACAGAAATAATCAACTGACATTTTCTAACAGTATCTATACCTACACAAATGTCTAAACCCTACGTTCATAACAACAGTCCCAGACACATCAATATCTTGGATTGTGAGAATATTTGTCGCTTTCTCCGATGGTAAGTTATTGTAGTCAGTCAACCATTTGTCAGAATCAGACCAGCGTAGACGTCCCCCACATTTCAACACCCATTCCGCACATAACCTTTCACCTCCTACCACTTCAAACCTTTGCTGGTCGAATCTGAAATATTTATAGATTATTTGACGTTGAATTGTACAACAAACCAAATTTTATTTAGAGGAGTACACAGGTGGATATATTGTTCATGTATTAGATTTTGCAAACTGCAATAAAACCTTTACATGGCTTGATTAATGTGAGCAACGTACTGATGTACATGTTTTGAAAATAAGAAGTGTTATCTAATAAGAAATAAGAAAAACTCATGCTCATTTCCTTCTTATGAACAGCGTGATTTCAGTGTGTCTATCATAATTTGCAGATAGTACAATTTTTAAGTTTGAGTAACAAAGCCATCTTGCAGTGTGGGAACATTTAGAGGGGATTTTATCATATAAATGGATGTCCACAATAAGGCCTTTACGAGGATGTTAAATCATTCAAAATCAAAGTCCTCACTCCATGACTGAGGCATTATCTACTTACAAGTTCAAAAGTCTGTTCATATATTTGAAGAAATGTCTTTTTATCAAATAGGTCTGTGGCCGTCTTACAGATGTTATGCCAACTTCAAACAGTCCTCCCTGAAATCAAATCACATACAATATTGGCTTAAATTTAGATAAAATTAAGAGCTAGGAAAATTGTGGAAGTTGCAATTAATATTAAAATTCAAAATTGCAGGTACCTTATTATAAGAATAATACAAGTGACTTGTAAGATTCAGAACATTATTACTTTAAATTTTCACTGTAAACAAAAAAGAAGTCATCTTAAGAGAACACAGACGTTCATCTCATTTGTGTAGTCAATAATGATTGTTTGTTTGTTTGACTGGGTTTTACATTAAACACCAACACAGTATACATGTAGGTCATATGTTGTATGGCAACGTTCCAGCTTTACTGGTGGAGGAAGACCTCAGGTGCCCTTCTGTGCACAAACGAGCAGGACCACCAACATTCCGTTAGTTAGCTGAATAGCTTCCTCACACGGAAGATTCCAAAGTCTTTGTTTGGATTCGCACCCACCTCCATGAGGGGTAGTCAATAATGATAAAATTACCATTAAACTATCTTGTGTCAATCAAGAACAGAACTATTATCCAGCACCTATCTACTACATGTATATCAAATCTACATACAGAATTATAGATAGATATATATAGTAAACAGATACTGGATAATAATTTGTTCGTCTTGATTAACGGGTAGTAATTTTACAAAAATTTAATCATTTTTGAAAGACACAAACAAGTGAAATTTATTGTTAAAAAATTACAGACAGCATTACAAAGGATATACTAAAATCAGATATACAAACATTTATAAAAACACACGCAACTCAGACACCAAAGTACATGTATTAATTTTACTCATTAATTATTTGCCTATTCCAGAAATAATCTACACATACTGAAGATGTGTACAAGGGAGTATTTCAAGGG